TCAACCATAAAACCCAACAGAAAAGACCTTGGGGAACAAGAGAAGATAATCTCTTAGAGAAAAAAAAATGCAGACGGCAGTAAAGGTGAATATAAGGAAAGGGACAGGGAAGAGTAAATTTTTAAGAATACATCAATCCAAGTCAAGTATTTTTCCCCATCACATTAAAAGGGTACGTAGCAGAGCTTGAAAATACAGAGTGATCACGGAGAGTGATGAGGGTGGGTACTTTTTTTTTTCCATTAGGATTAAAGAACCTGGAATTTAGTTGGATCTAAACACTTCCTACATTTATCATGTCTCCGTTTTTATTACAATTACCCTTTACTCCCCTAATTTCAATATTATGAGCCACATCTACATATATAACAGAAACAGGGCAGGAACTCAAGCAGTTTTTAAATTTTCCAACCGAGGGAAAGGATTCTCCAGGGGTTACATCTTATAATTGGAAATGAAGGGAGAAACCCAGCAAGGTTGTCCTGCTGAAATCATGTGTAGGCAGCATGAGAACCCATACCCATTCTCTCATTCTTAAGCATGAAATCACCTACCAGAGCTACAAGAATTAGGAAAAATTATATCTACTCTTTTAAAATTCACTTTAGATTTTTTTTGCCAACATCAAAAATTCTTCCCGGAAAAATAAACTTATTTTTAAGACAGAATCAAGTAAAATGAAGCATATGTTAAGAAAAAATTGCATTTTATATTGAGCAGGTGAATTGCACATCAGATTATGTCAGCACAAGCAGGTGGGGTTCAACGTTTTTAACTTTTCTTTTTCCTCCCTTTAATAGACTTCCCTATTTTTCTACACTTAGTTTTATTAGGCTTCACTTAGCTTCACCAGCTTAACAGAGTCTGGGCAGGCAGCGCATGTACGATGGCCTGAAAACACATTGCCCTATGTAAACAATTGTTTTTGGCAATTCAGAGGTTTCGTGGCAGGACTGCATTTTTTTTTTTTTCTGAAAATCAAATGTTTACGCCAAAGTTAGAATTGCATGTGCATTTTTATGACTTGGCATAGTCAAACATTACAGTTGTGTGTTTAAAAAGGGAATTTGATCTTTTTTGCTGTTTCTTTTTTGGGCTTCCATTTTTCCCTAGTTTCATTGTTTTCTCTCTTACAGTACATTTTCATATCTTGGTGTATCTCTTCAGCATCTGCTTCTCCTCAATAATAATCTTCATTCAAGAATAATAACTCTTTGGTCTCTTTGGATATATTTTGTTTTGCCCCTACCTATGAACTTCACCAGGGTGTGTTGAAGGTTAACGGCTCCATTTCTGGAATTTTCTTGGATCCCTTTTGAAGAAAAGTGCCAAAGTATATAAAGAGGGCTCAGATGTATGTGGGCTCTGCCAAGGCCTTTGAGAAAGGCTCCACATAGCTGCACCTCCTTCCAGCTCCCTTCTGTTCTCACTGTGCCCGGCTTCTTCACAATTTCATGTCGGGGCTCATATCTTCTGCTCATGTAGGAAAACAACCTTTGGATTAATAGAAGCACCAGAATCCTTGTTAATCTAGCAACGCTCTGCCTCGTCTAGTAACACGTAGACAATTGCTTCTCACTTCACTGAGTTTTCTATCCTCTTCTCTTTTCCATCCCACATCACTCAGCATCAGGAATGTCTCTGTTGGTCATTTTCTAATGACCCCATCAGTCTTTAGGAATAGCCAGAGTTGCTCACAGATCTTTTCTCATAGCTGCTGAAACAGTAGAAAGATGAGGTAAGGAACAGGAGCATTGTTGGAAATGGTTGGAGGCACCTTTTAGCAGTGTTTTGCCCGAGGGGCACTGAACCACAGGGTCATTCCACTAACTCATCTGTCCTATAACATATGTCAAGCAGTTTGCTTCAGTTGTGACTGTCTGCTCAAAGAGGCAGTAAAGTCAACCTAAACTAAACTCAAACAGAAAGAGATTTTAGTGGTTTGTATAACTGAAAAGCTCAGAGATGGGGCTGTCTTCTTATGCAGCACAACATGAGGCTCAGATGGTGTTACGTGACCACTGGCTTCTCTCTATAGATCTCTTGGCTTTTCTCTCTCTACTGTCAGCTCATTCTTAGGCAAGCTCTTCCCTCAGACTCATAAGATGGCTGCAGAAGCTCCAGAACTTACATTGTCTCAGTTTCACATCCACAAGAGGTCACTGCAGTCAGCCATCCAACAGCAGGAGGTTTAGACTCATGAAGTGTTTCTGGAAAGAGAAGCCCTCCTGGAAACTGACACTCCCAAAGATTAACCAACCCTGGAGCCATCCTACTTCAAGATCTGAGACAATAACTTTTTCTTATTGATTAATTCTATTTTATGTGAAGTTTTCTTGTTAAGAAATTCATCTTTTTTGCCGTTTCATCTTTGCTCTACACTTTCTTCTAGGTCCATTATTTTCTCTCACACAGCACATTCAGCAGACAGTTTCCTAGGTGATGTCATTAGCTCTAGTGGGGTCATATGCTCATTCCTAACCATTCACAGTGGGAATGTGATGTGTGACTGACCTCAGCCTAGATGCTCCAGTCCACTTCTGCAGTGGGATGGGTTCATCCCACTGGATGACATGGACTGAGCACAGAGGAGAAGGAATAGCTACTGGGAAATTAGGGTATGGTTTTTATAAAATAGTGAAATAGATACTGTGAAGCAAAAATATCAGGTGTCCAGTACTTCATCCTTTTGAATGTGCCTTTTATTATCCAGGGGCCACAAACTGTCAGTATAGGGACTGTGTAATTCGTCACTTGGTCTGGTAGCCCAGCATATGTAGCTTTGGAGGTGTTTCAGATCAAAGGTACATCTGCTATGTTATTGACTCGTCTCAATAGTCTATGAATACTTTTCCTTAGTGAGGGCCTCATGTCTCCAGCTTTGGAACGTCAGCCACTTCAAGGTCATGACAAAGGACAGGCAAAGCCTTGAGTTGCTGCACAATCTAGTGCTCTCTAAAGGATGCTAGAAAACTGAAGCAGCTATTGAAGAGCTTCATGTGCCATCCCACAGGCCCCCTTCTCTCTTACCTCCTGCAGTCTGGTTGATCTCATGGCTCTCAGAGTTAGCCTGGTATGTAGCACAGTGAGGCCTCAGGTCAGCCTGCATCTAGTGATTTCAGTTCTGCAGTTGGCTGGAATTCCATCTGTCAAGAAGCTTTTGCAGTCAGTCATTTGATAGTGGAAGTGTTGGCCCACTAGGATTTCCTGTGTATCTGGAAAGAGGAGCACCCCTTGAGATCTGACATGCTCTGTGAAAATTAGGGGTTAGTTTTCCCTATTCTCAGTTAGTTTCTGCCGAACCTAACGTATTTCAGTGTTTGAGGACTAAAAAAAAAACACATACACACACATAAAGAATAATTTCTCTCTTTTTCATTATGAACTTAGGTAATGTCATCAAGAGAATCTAATCAACATGACACTATTTACTTCCCTCCAAAGTAATTTCCTCTCTGTCAATGCAAAGACATGCATTTTTACTTAGTTATAATTAGTGTGAACATACTCGTTTTTGTTTCAGAAAGGTTTTCTTTACCTTGGCATTGAGATCTGTTTTCATAGGCGAGAACACTGAGAATGAGAAGAAACCTTCACTGGAGAGTTGGGAGGATTATATTGGGTCATATTATCCCAGAGTTAAAGAGACCTTGAAGGACCCCAAATCCCGCCCCGTATCTCTGATGACTGCACTTCTAGGCTAATAAACTCACTGGAGCAGCCTTCCCATGCAAAGGCCTCACCAGATCTTACTGCACAGCACCAAGGGTGGACTCTCCCTTCTAAAGGAAGAATGAAATCCCATCCTCCGGGTGTGCTAGGGTCTACTTGTCTGCCATGGGCCCGCACCCTTGTCTTCCGCTCTGCGGTGTTGTGGGTTATCTAAAAGGTTTCCCATGCAGGAAAAAAGTGGAAACCATGCTGCTCTGGGACCATCCTCCATAACATTCCCCTCAAAATTACTTTTTTTTTAAGTAGTAATCCACACCAAT